TCAGTGACATTAATTGCATTCACAGTGCAGCTATAAACTCTCATAACCACTTTTCATTTTCAGAACTTTTTCATAATCCCAAACAGAAACTCTGTAACTCTTAAGCAGTAACTTCCCATCCTCTCCTCCCCAAGGTGGTAACGACCACTCTACTTTCTTTCTCTATGAATTAGTCTATTCTAGATATTTAATATAAGTGGAATTCTAGAATATTTGTACTTTTGTGTCTAGCTTTACTTAACAAAATATTTTTTTAACAAAATATTTTTAAGGCTTATTCATAGTGTAGCACGTATCCAAATATTATTCCTTTTTATGGCTGAATATTGTGTATACGTGTGTATGTGTATACTCCACAATTTGTTTATCCATTCATCTGTTGATAGACACTTGGGTCGTTTCCCCCTTTTAGCTGTTATGAATAATTCTGTGAATGTTGGTGTACAAGTTTGAATCCTTGCTTTCAGCATACCTTAGAATGAAACTGCTATATCAATATGGTAATTCTAAGTTTAACTTTATGAGGAGTCACCAAACTATTTTTCACAGCAACTGCATCAGCATTTACATTTTTATCAGTAGCGCACAAGGGTTCCAATCTTTACACATCCATACCAACACCTTCTGTTTTTTTAATAATCGCTGTCCTAACGAATATGAAGTAGAATCAATACATCCTTAATTACCTCTTAGTTTATAAGACTACATGAGTCAGTCGGTGTGTCTTCTTAACACACTTAACCTTTTTTTATTTTCCTTCCTTGAGATGGAGTCTCGCTCTGTCACCATTGCTGGACTGCAGTGGCATGATCTCAGCTCACTGCAGCCTCCACCTCCCAGACTCAAGTGATCCACTTACCTCAGCCTCCTGAGTAGCTGGGACTACAGGTGTGAGCCACCACTCCCTGCCCAAGCTTAACCTTTGTAAATAAAATCTTTTAAAATAGCACTGATGGTGATATCACTTCCAGATTGGGTTGTTTTCTCCTCCAAATAATATCACTGACTAGAATAATTACCTTTGTTCTATACAATAATTAAAATGGCAGTTTTGAATTAAAATGGTAGTCTATAAAGGTTTTAGGCTTGTTTTAGTGTTTGACTTCTTATATAGCTATGGAAAGAATATAAAATAGAGTTAAAATGATAAATTGATGTTACTGATTGTTAAAATCAAAAATTGCCAAATTCTAATAAAAGTAAATTGAGTTACCCCAGCTGTTGCCTGGAGATTGAGAGGTAAAAGTAACTACAATAATTTGACTTAAAACAGTGTTTTTCAAACTTTAAAGTGAAGAAGGTTCATGTGGTAATTTTGATAAAATATAGATTCTAATCTAATCTCATGAAACCTGTTCTTCTGCATGTCTAAAAAGCTGCTCAGTAATGGCCAGGAATACACCTTTGAGTAACAATAATTTGAAATATTAATGAGTATAAAACATAATTGAATAAAATGTTTTAAAGCTCTGAAGACTTGCAAATCTAACTTATAAATATAAATCTATTTAGAACTTTTCAAATGTAAATGACTACTGATTTAAAAAAAAAAAATACTGGTCTAGAAGATGGCCGATTAGCAGCAGCTCAGGATTGCAGCTCCCAGTGAAGGTGCAAGGAGTGAGTGGACACCAGACTTCCAGATGAATTTTTGTTGCCCATGGACCAGGAGATTCCCAGCAGAGGAGACCGACGGGTCGCCAGTGTGACTCTTTTGGCTGGCGCGGCTGTTTGCCGGTGTCCCGGCACGGCAGTTCTCAGTGCGGAGTATGCAGGACTGGGTGCCCTATTAGTTGGCATTTGGAGCTCCAGGAAGGCAGAGTCGCCCATTCAGCTGATTGAAAAGGGGACTGAAGCAGGGAGCCAGACCGGGAGATTCCCGGGCAGAAAAGTGCCACGAATCTCAACACCACTGTTTCAGCCTGCTTGGTCGCTGCCCAGGAAATTGCATAGATCCCGGCACCTTTTCAGCGGGCAACTGGGGCACCTGGGAGAGAATCCACTGTTCAGTTAGGGGAAAAAAGGGGGGCTCCGAGGAGGGGAGCCAGGTGATCAGGCTCGGCTGGTCCCACCGCCACAAAAAACCAGCAATTGGAAACGCTGACGGTTGAGAGTTTCACAGCAAGCACAGCTGAACCCGGGAAGGTCCAGGTCTGTGGGGGAGGGGTGTCGCCCAAAGGAAAACAAAGAAACAGAAATAACATCATCACCAACAAGCTGGACGTCCACTCAGAGACCCAATCTCAAAGTCAACAATTACAAAGACCACAGGTGCGTAAATCCACAGAGATGGGAAGAAACCGGCACAAAAAGGCTGAAAATATCCAAAATCAGAATGCCTCTTCTCCTTCAGGGGATCGCAGCTTCTCATCAGCAAGGGAACAAGGCCTGGTGGAGAATGAGTGTGATGAATTGTCAGAATCAGGCTTCAGAAGATGGATAATAAGAAACTTCCGTGAACTAAAAGAACATGTACTAACCCAATGCAAAGAAACTAAAAACCTTGAAAAAAGGTTTGACGAAATGCTAACGAGAATAGACAATTTAGAGAGGAATATAGGTGAATTATTGGAGCTGAAAAACACAATACGAGAACTTCATGAAGTATGCACAAGTTTTAACAGCCGAATTGACCAAGCAGAAGAAAGGATATCAGAGGTTGTAGACTAACTCAATGAAATAAAACGAGAAGATAAGGTTAAAGAAAAAGAGTAAAAAGGAATGAACAAAGTCTCCGAGAAATATGGGACTATGTGAAAAGACCTAATCTACGTTTGATAGGTGTACCTGAATGTGACAGAGAGAATGAATCCAAGCTGGAAAATATTCTTCAGGATATTATTCATGAAAACTTTCCCAACCTAGCAAGGCAGGACAATATTCAACTCGAGGTAATACAGAGAACACCACAAAGATATTCCTCAAGAAGAGCAACCCCAAGGCACATAATAATCAGATTCACCAGGGTTGAAATAAGGAGAAAATGCTAAGGGCAGTCAGAGAGAAAGGTCAGGTTACCCACAAAGGGAAGCCTATCAGACTCACAGCAGACCTCTCAGCAGAAATCCTACAAGCCAGAAGAGAGTGGGGTCCAATATTCAACATCCTTAAAGAAAAGAACTTTCAACCCAGAATTTCATATCCAGCCAAACTAAGCTTCATAAGTGAAGGAAAAATAAAATCTTTTATGAACAAGCAAGTATTCAGAGATTTCATCACCACCAGGCCTGCTTTACAAGAGCTTCTGAAAGAAGCACTACACATAGAAAGGAACAACCAGTATCAGCCATTCCAAAAATATGCCAAAAGGTAAAGAGCATCAACATAATGAAGAATCTACATCAGTTAATGGACAAAACAGCCAGCTAGCATTAAATGGCAGATTAAACTCACATACATTAATATTAATCCTAAATTTAAATCGACTAAATGCCCCAATTAAAAGACACAGACAGGCAAATTGGATAAAAAGCCAAAACTCATCGGTGTGCTGCATCCAGACCCATCTCACATGCAAGGATGCACAAAGACTCAAAAATAAATAAATAAATAAATAAAAAGCAGGAGTTGGAATTCTCGCCTCTGATAAAATAGACTTTAAAGCAACAAAGATCAAAAGAGGCAAAGAAGGACATTACATAATGGTAAAAGGATCAATGCGACAAGAAGAGCTAACGATCCTAAATATATACGCACCCAATACAGGAGCACCCAGATACATAAGGCAAGTTCTTAATGACTTACAAAGAGACAGACTCCCACACAATAATAGTGGGTGACTTTAACATCGCATTGTCAATATTAGACAGATCAACGAGACAGAAAATTAACAAGGATATCCAGGACTTGAACTCAGACTTAAACATAAGTTTAAATGTTTATTAAACTTAATAAACATTTACAGAACTCTCCATCCCAAACCCACAAAACATACATTCTTCTCAGTACCACATCACACCTACTCTAAAAGTGACTACATAATTGGAAGTAAATCACTCCTCAGTAACTGCATAGCATTTCACAGGTTTAAATGAAATATTGGTTGGCTGCTTGTTTGTTATTTTCCTCCCTTAATCCTTCCTGTCTCCATTGTTAAGCACAATTATTGGCATAAAAGAGGTTTTTAATACCCATTTTTAGACTGCATTCTAGCCTGGGCAATAAAGCAAGACTCCTGTTCTCTCTTCCTCTTTCTCTTCCTCTTTCTTTCTCTCTTTCTTTCTTTTTCTTTCTTTTTTTCCTTAAAAAAAAAAGTCAATGCCTTTTGAAAAATATATAAAACGAGCCCAAATTTAGATTAATAGTGGAGAAACTGTATTAAACTGCTCAGAGAAAACGGGGTTCAGTAGTAAGTACTTTCGGCACTAGAGAGAGTCAAGAAGGGTGACGGGTCGGGACGGCTCCCTGTGTCTAAGAACAGTAACTTTTCCTTGAGGATAGATTTTATGCCATCTACTCTAGCTCAGTATAAAAAAAGAAAAAAAAAAAAAACTGGCCTACTGGTATTAAGTTTTGGAATCTCATTTTCAGTTCGTCTGTTGAAATGCTCCATCTCTCATTAGTCACTGTGCCTTAGTTTTTTCAACTTTAAAATTGGAAGAATACTTTCTACATTTTTTTTTTTTTTTTTTTTTGAGTTACAGTTTTGCTCTTGTTGCCCAGGCTGGGGTGCAATGGTGCGATCTCAGTTTACTGCAACCTCCACCTCCCAGGTTCAAGCAATTCTCCTGCCTCAGCCTCCTGAGTAGCTGGGATTACAGGCATGTGCCACCACACCCAACTAATTTTTTGTATTTTTAGTAGAGGCAGGTTTCACCATCTTGGCCAGGCTGGTCTCAAACTCCTGACCTCAGGTGATCTACCCGCCTCGGCCTCCCACAGTGCTGGAATTACAGGCGTCAGCCACCACACCCAGCCTCTACATATATATATATTTTTTTACCTTGATGTTGATGAAGAATATTTTAAAATTGTCTTTTTTATGTTCTTTTTTTCTTTAGGGAGTGCCTTGGTGAAGCACATGAGCCTTGTGACTGCCAAACATGGAAGAATTGGCTGCAAAAAATAACCGAAATGAAACCAGAAGAACGTAAGAGGAATTTTAGATAGCTTTGCTACGTATTTCCTTACAGCATTCAAAAGAAAATGTGGTCATATCCTTTTTAGTCTTCATTTAAGAGGTTTCCAAATTTGTTAATGCAAGCGCTCTCCTATTTACCTTCACCCCTTTGACTAACGTCCTTTTGGAAGTTATAGAGTTTTGGCAAGGAGGAATCATGGAGAAGTTCCATGTTTCTAACAGACTTACTTTCCAGTCAAAGACAAACGGGGTAAATAGGGGTCACAGCTAAGCCTCCTCCTACAGCCCTTTTCTTTTATACTAGGGTGAGCCAACCAGTTATTCTGTATTGTGTGGGATGTAGTATATGATCTGTAGTTTGAATGAGTTTCCCATATCCCTGAAAGCTTCCAATGAAGGATACAGCAAGTTAATTTTTTGCTCTTGTGTGGTTCTATATGTTTACTGATGTTAAATACCTTATAGATAAATGTTGTCACTGAGACTTCTATAAATACATTATCTCTGTTAATCATCACAGAAATGATATGAGGTTGATGTTGGTAATCCTGTTTTACAGAGGAAACTAATGCTTAGATTGGGTTGAAAGACACAGGGCATGCACCTTGTAAACAGAATGGGTTTGAATCTTCTGAGGGGACTACTTTTTAAACCCTTCCTAATAGCAGTTCCCACGTTTAACAGATAAATCTGTCTGCTTTGCAATAATTTCCCATCTTCTAAAATGTTTTATAACAACTGTTTTCTCTCAAAACATATAAACAAAAATTAATTTAGTTCTGGTCTTTTTTAAAAAAAAAAGATTTAGATAATGGTGTTAGCTTGAGATGTTGCAAGTCAGGATCAAGAATTCACTCAATAAGTCTACACGTATTAGTAAAGCACATAATAAAGATAATGCCAGACTTCAGGGCATGTAGAGGCTAGAGGGAAGCAGTCAGACATTACAGTATCATATGATAACTGATATAGTTGAGTAAAGATGAGAGTCCAGAAACAAGAACAACAAACTCAGGTTCAGAGGAGAAAGGGTGTCAAAGAATCACCTTGAAGGCAGTGAGCTATGAACTGGATTTTAGAGCCTCTGCCTTGTGGTAGGTAGTTCCTGTCAGCAACTGAACTAGCATTGAGAGGGACTGCCCAGCAGCCATGATACTTTACAGGCTTGTATTATATCAGGGAACTTACCACTGCCTGAGGACTGGTCCTCAGCATTTTAGATCTACAAAGTTCACTTTGTCCACTGACTCAGGGTTATTATGACCCTCGGAGAAGAGATTACCGTATAAACCAGAATGCCCAGTTATTAGTTGATAATGAGGGTGATCCCTTTCACTTGTTGAGAAGGCTTATGTCCATTATCAACAGCAAAGAGAAGTGGATTATCTTAGAATATTTTCTAGTGAAGCCTGATTAAACATTCTTGTCCTGTTCATGCACCATTCAGTCAACAGATTTTTTTAAGCCAGGCACAATGGTTCACACCTGTAATCCCAGCACTTTGGGAAGCCAAGGCAGGTGGCTCACTTGAGGTCAGGAATTCAAGACCATCCTGGCCAACATGGTGAAACCCTATTTCTACTAAAAATACACAGATTAGTCCAGCATGATAGTATGCACCTAGGGAGGCTGAGGCAGGGGGATCACTTGAGCCTGGAAGGTGAAGGTTGCATTGAGCCGAATTGCACCACTGCACTCCAGCCTGGGTGACAGAATGAGACTCTGTCTCAAAAAAAAAAAAAAAAAAAAATTTTTTTTTCTTAGTACTTGTTAGGTGCTAAGCACTTCCCAAAACAAAAATACCTGTATAAGGCCGGGCACAGTGGCTCACACCTGTAATCCCAGCACTTTGGTAGTGCAAAGTGGGCAGATCACCTGAGGTCAGGAGTTTGAGAACAGCCTGACCAACATGGTGAAACCCCATCTCTACTAAAAATACAAAAATTAGCCAGGTGTGGTGGTGAGTACCTATAATCCTACCTGCTCAGGAGGCTGGGGCAGGAAAATCACTTGAACCCAGGAGGCAGATGCTGCAGTGAACCCAGATTACCCCAGTGCACTTGAGCCTGAGTGCCAGAGTGAGACTCCATCAAAAAAAAAAAAAAAAAAAAATGCCTGTATAGATTGTGCTTGTTCCCCAGATTCATTGTAGTAGCCATTGCTCTTCATACCCACCATTTCGCCTATTCTCCTGATATGTATGGGTGTTGTATGTGTGTTTGTGTTCCATAAACAGATTCATACCATTACCCTGCAGCACCTTTAGATGTGACAAAACAATTGGAATTTACTTTTTTCCTTGCTTCTGGCAGCTAGAAATATTTATATTTCTATTACGAATGGCTTGCTATTGCCCACCTACCTACATTTCTTTATACATTTCTTTAGAACTTAAGGTTAAGTTCCATGGGAGAAACTTGCAAGAGATGAGGCTAGAAAGGTAGGTGTTGCCAGATTGTGAGCATTATTGCCAAATTGTTTTGAATTTATCCTCCTAACAGAATAAGCCATAAAGTGTATTATTTAAGTAGGGAAGTGGCAGTATCAGAAAAGTTATTTTTATCAAGATAAATGATGAGAGTGAAGGGTGAATTGAAGAAAAGGTAGACTAAAGGTAGGAAGGTGAATTTTTTATTTGAGTCAGAGGGTAAATTATGCCATTAATGAAACAGGAAACTCAAATAAACAAGTAACTTTGGGGAGGGGGGAATAATAAGTTTTGGTGTGAACATTTTGAACTTAAAGTACTTACCCAACATGTATGGAGATGTCCAATGGAATTTTACAAGTGTTCGTCTGAAACTCAGAAAAGATGCTAAGAATCTTAGGAATAAATTATTCATTTTAAATGTTATATTCATTATTTAATGAACTTTTATTGAGTGCTGTTGTACATTAGAATACAGAAATAAGATGCCCTCGATGCTCTTGAAGTTTATATTTTAGAGAGGCAACTATATACAAAACTAAGGAAAAATGTGTTATGAATGTGAGAGAACATTGTTCATGTATGTGATAACTTGTAGGAGAGGGGAAGGATAAGGAAGGAAGAGATCAGTTATCTATGGGGGAGGGTTAGGAAATACTTTATAAAAGAATTGATGCTTAAGGTGCATGTTGAAAGCTGATAGGTGTTCTTCACATGAACCAGAATAGGAAAGACATTCCAGGAATAGGGTGAAGTAGTAATGTGAAGTAGTGTGGCATATGCAAGAACTGCAAATAATTCATACAATCAGTGCAGTGGTTCGTTGAGAGATGAGACTGTGCAGACAGGAGTCCAAATCAAGTGTTTGGCACAAAGAGGTGGTTGTGCACAGTGCTAGGAAATCTGACGTTATCCTGACACTGAAAAGGAGTTTTAAGTAGGAGAGTGATAAATGAAGAAGCTTCCTGACAAAGATCACTCAGGCAAAAGTATGGATGATGAAATGGAGACTATTGAGAAACTAGGTAAGAATGCTAGTTTTGAGACAACTTCAGAATGATCAGGTGAGAGAATAAGAGGGCTTAAGATGGGTAATTCAGGTGGGAGGGGGTATATACAGGAGAGCTTTAAGATATATTAAATAATCTTATGAAGTAGTAAACCTTTTGTGCTTACTAGTTGCCTAAAAGAATTAATGTACCATAAGAAGTAACTAGTCTAGCATATTATTCTATTCAATTCTTGAGTAGAAAATGCCCATCGATGTTTGAAATGTAAAGCAAGTAGTTTTATTTTTCTCCAAACCCCTACCCCAGTCTCTCCAAGGTGAGTTAGCATCTCCACAGCTGCCTAGATCCTGGGTCCTGGAAACTCGAGGTGAACACTAATCTTGTGGGCACTAAGTGACACACTGGCCCTCTCCAAGTGCTACTATCCTGTGGCATCAAATGACTTTGCATCACTTTCCCGGTCTTTTGTCACCAAATCTGATCCATTACCCTGAAAGAACTATTCTTTCAAGGTTTCAACTGTAAGAACAAATCACTCACTAGGTAACTGCTGATCATTCACTCAAGTAATCTCAAACTATGGATATGATCTTTTAGGTTTATATAGTTCACCTATTTTTTTCTTCCCACAATTCTTCAGGTTTATTATAATCTTCTGTTTTGCCTGTGGTCTAATTAGAGTAATTCATCTCCCTACTTGCCCTTAATTCACAAATTACCCCAATTTTACAGAGGGAGATACCAAGACCAAGAGAAACCAAAATGTTCTGCCACACAGCAAATCCATTTCACATCTGGTATCAGAACATGGAAAAAGTATTTAAAGCAAGTATTTTTAAGTTGATGGCTATTTTTAGTTATTTCTTACCATATTAAAAATAGATAAATCATTCCATATCCACAGATAAGTTTTTGCTAGGGAAGGAGAAGGAGAATGGCCTGGCTAGTGAGAACAGATTATGGGTGGGACTCTGAAAAAATGTCCTTGGACATGATAATGATCCTGATACTAAGAGGAGGAAAGAAATAGAAAAGCTAGAAAATGGTGTATACACGGTTACTTCTGATGGCCAGAGATAGGGAGATCACAAATTTAAAAATTGGAGATTACCCTTGAAGATCCCAAATGGGTTTTGATTTGGAAAGATGGAAGAATGTTTGAAAACATGGTAGGAGACAAAAGACTGAAGACACCTGAGATTTGTTCTACCAGAGAAGGAGCCAAGCCAAGGCTGCAGAGAAAGTCCCAGTAGTTGTTAAGAAAAGCCTAGGAGTTTTCTCACTCTACTGAACTGTGTCTTCCACACTGAAAGACAGTGACTAGTAATGGCTACTTACATGTATGAAACTTAGGGTGAGGATTAAAGTAAACAGTAATTGGCCAACTATAATACTAAAGTAGAACACCGTCATTAAATATGCAAAAATGATATTTCAAAAGGAAAAGTATGATTAGGTACTATTTTAAGTTTGTGTGTTACTTTGGATTATAGCATTTTTACTTTGCATTTTATGCAAAAAAAAAAAAAAAGACATAAGCATGTTTAACCAAATTTGTAGTTTCTTGACATAGTTTTCTTCTTTATGCCCAGTTTTCCAAAGTCTTTGAATTATGAGACTCAGCGTGAGAAAATCTAATTAATGAGAAAGAAGTATTAGAAAATATACTGAAATGAATTCAAATAATTAATTTTTCTTTTCTTTCTTTTTTTTTTTTTTTTTTTTTTGAGACGAAGTGTTGCTTTTGTTGCCCAGGTTTGAGTGCAATGGCACGATCTCGGCTCACCACAACCTCCGCCTCCTGCCTCAGCCTCCCGAGTAGCTGGGATTACAGGAATGTGCCACCACGCCCTGCTAATTTTGTATTTTTAGCAGAGACAGGGTTTCTCCATGTTGGCCAGGCTGTTCTCAAACTCTGGACCTCAGGTGATCTGCCCACCTTGGCCTCCCAAAGTGCTGGAATTATAGGCATGAGCCACCGCACCTGGCCTAAAATTAATTTCATATAAAGATTTAAATAGTGTTCAAGTGCTGAGATTGCCTCTATTGTGTCTAATTAGAGCAAAAAAAAGGAATGGTTATATTTTCTATGAAATGATGGTTAATTTATAAATTTTTCAGACCAATATTTTTCATAGAACCTACTCAGTAAACAGAATTCAAATTGTGTATTTAAAAATTCAGTCTTTGACTAGGTGCAGTGGTTCACACCTGTAATCCCAGTACTTTGGGAGGCCAAGGCAAGAGGATCACTTGAGGATTAGAGTTCAAGACCAGCCTGGGCAACACAATGAGATCCTGTCTCTCCAAAAAAATTAAAAACTTAGCCAGGCATGGTGGCACATGCCTGTAGCCCTAGCTACTTGGGAAAGCTGAGACAGGAGGATCTGTTGACCCAAAAAGTTGAAGGCTACAGTGAGCTGTGATTGTACCACTGAATTCCAATCTGGATAATTGAGTTCCTATTTCTAAAAACAGTAAAAATTCAATCTTTAAAAGCAACTGTGTTTTCACATGCATATATGTTCATTCTATTAATAGATATTAGATTTTGTGATACTCTAATACTTTATTATGAAGTTAATACATTTTACAAAGAGACCCAAGCATACTAGATTATTAAGAAAGAAGATCAAGATATAAAAGAGATGTGACTGAAGTGAAGGGAAGAGGTTGAAAGTCAGTAGAGGTAAAAAAATCTCACCAGATAGATTGAAGGGAGATGTGGTGTTTTTGGTGTTATGAATAGTATGTATAAGCTGGATGCGGTGGCTCATTCTTATAATCCCAGCACTTTGAGAGGCCAATGCAAGCAGATCACTTCAGGACAGGAGTTTGAGACCAGCCTGGTCAACATGGTGAAACTCCCATCTCTACTAAAAAAAAAAAAAAAAAAAAAAAAAAAAAAAACAGCCAGGTGTGGTGGCAGGCATCTGTAGTCCCAACTACTTGGGAGGCTGAAGCACAAGAATCATTTGAACCCAGGAGGCAGAGGTTGCAGTGAGCTGAGATCATGCTACTGTACTCCATCCTGGGCAAAGTGAGAGTCTGTCTCAAAAAAAAAAAGAAAAAAGGATATTTAAGGAACAGATATATGGAATAAGCATGTTCAGAGAATTGGAAATAAAGGTATTTTTTCCAGCATGAGTTTTTATTATAGTTGTAGTTGGTTATTCCCTGAACATGATTTGCTTCATGCAGTTCACTAAAATGCAGTTAGGAGATCACATTCTCTCCAAGGGTGGAAGAAAAAACTGTTATGTTGCAGGCCACACTGCTGCTTTGTTTTAATGGCTTTGTGCTTTATTTATTATAACAATGAACAATAAGGGTCATAAGAATATGTTAGTGCCTCTGAGCTAACAATAGTGTTGATGCTGAAGGAAGAAGAAAGGCCACAATTTTAACAAAAATTAGATGTTTTAAATGTGAAGTATACTTAAATGATTAGGTTTTATAGCAATACCCTTTGTAAGTGGAATTGCCTCCACAGCTTGACCTTATTAGCCCTAAGTAGTTTCTTCCAGAACTACTGTCACCCACCAAATTATCTGAGAATTTTTCCCACCAACACCTTAGTCAGACCATCTTCTACCAAGTATATTTACAACTGGAGTAAAGTCTGATCAGCTCATTACTGCTGTTTCACTTGCTATGTGGAGTTTAAAACCAGTGCTTTTACAGTCCAACAGTAGCTGCTGTTCTATTATAAACTTAAGTAGGTAAGCACTTGGGGTTCCTTTGCAGCAAGATAGCACCATTCCTGCACTGCTAGGCTCCATCAGAAGACTGCTTCTAGTGCTCAGCCCTTCCAATCCATACACAGAGCCACTTTCCAGGAATCAGTGAGTCCAAACCTTTGTCTCCCCTCCCTCCCCAGGGGCTTATATCTAGGGGTTGGGTAATTTTTCTTTTTGAACTTTGAAACTCAAAGAGTCTGATTTCTCCCCTGCTTTGGACAGTAGAGCCAACCATTTACCCCACCACCCTTCTGAAAGTGTCTGCATTTAAACAAAACTTTGATTAGATGGGCCACTTTCAGTGATTCTAAAATGATTGTCTGGCATCTCTTTGAGTAAAGAAAATGTAAGGCTTCTCAGTGCACTTAGGGCTAAAAAAGAAAATAAAACTAAACCAACTTGAGTGCTGACATTCTTGCAGGAAAAAATTTTAAATTATGCATCTAGTGCTCTCCAGCCCCTAACTCTGTCCATGGAGGGGAGAGGGAAGTTTATAAAATGTAAAATTTAGAATCTTTGAAAACCATGACATTCCTTAAGATTGTGGATCTCAAATTATAGTAAAGTAAGTTGAGTTTAAGAAAATGAAGAGTATAAGTTTGATTAGGGATGGAGGGTGAGAGGAACTTGCTAGAAGGGCCATATCATAATGGGCTTTATATTCTTTGCAAAAACAATTAGATTTTATTTTGAAGTCAGTGGGGAGCAAATTAGAAGATTTCAAGCAGTGTGTATTCTAAAAAGATCACTGTGGGATGGGTGGCTGGCAGGGGCAGGGGATGGGAGGATGAAGAAAAGTTGGTTAATGGGTACAAACAGAGTTAGATAGAAGACAATATTATATTCAAAGTAACTAGAAGGGAGGACTTGAAATGATACCAACACAGAGAAATTATAATTACTCAGCTTGATGGGTACTTCAGATATCCTGACTTGATTATTACACATTCTATGCATGTAGCAAACAGTCATATCTACTTCATAAGTATGTGAAGTATCTTGTGTCAATAAAAGAAAAACACATAGAGAGATTTTTTAAAAAATCACTGTGCAAGCAGTGTAGTTGAAGGTGGACGCATGAAGGAACTGAGGAGATAGGTTGGTTTTCTGTGCTTTAGTTGTCTAGACAACAGATATGAAGGACCGTAGCTTAAAGCAATAAGAACTGGGAATGGAGAGGAACCAAATATGATAAAGAGGGTGGAATAAATAGGATGCTATGAGTGAGGGAACGAGGAGGATGTCGAAGATCATACTCTTCCTAAATTGACTCTGGCCAGATAATTGTGTCATTTGCCAGGATGGGGAATAAAGAAAGGAGCAGGTTTGGGGAAAATAATAAGCTTAGTTTTAGACATGTCACATTGAATTAATTTTAAGATTATCCAAAATAATCATGGATAAAAAAAATATGTTGATATTTTTTGCTTTTCACTATGGCAAAGAGTTTCTGATAATTATATTTGCATCTGGCCTGTTAAATAAATTATTGTCTAAAGTAACTGTTCTTTCTGTAATTTTCTTTGATGCAATAGTTATTTTAAATGGAGTAGCAGTGTTACTTTTGTCTTTTTTTTTTTTTTAACCTTTTTTGTATATGTTGTTTTCTGTCACAGTTTATTTGGGCACAAGTTTATGGAGAAATCTCCCTTAAACCAGGTTTCATGAATATTTCTTTTGGAACAGAGTTTCTTATCTTATAATTAGGCTATTCAAAATGAAGCAGTTTAAAAATGTTGCCACAGACCCTGATCAGAAAATAAATATTTTGTTAAAATTGAGAAACAGCCTGCAAAGAAAAGTGTGGAGGGTTGTCTTCCCCCAGAAGTCGTACACTAAATCATTTATTTTTGTGTTTGTGCTTAATATCCCAAAGTTGTGGGAGTTAGTGAAGCCTACGAGGATGCCGCCAATTGTCTCTGGTTATTAACTAACTCCAAGCCTTGTGCCAACTGTAAGTCTCCAATACAGAAGAATGAAGGCTGCAATCACATGCAGTGTGCTAAGGTATGACATTAAAGAGGATTTTGCATGCTTTGCATTTGGAATCTTAATTTAGTTTGATTGTCAATCCAAAGGATAAATTATTTGAGGGGGTGTGGTGCAATGGCTCTTGCCTATAATCCCAGCACTTCAGGAGGTTGAGGCAGGAGGATCGCTTGAGGCCAGGGGTTCAAGACCAGCCTGGGCAAAATACCAAAACCCCATCTCTACAAAAACAAAAACAATATAAAGGTAAGCATAAGGAATCTATAGTATTCAACCAGAAGATTAGAAATTCATGAATCCTCCCTTGCTAGTCACCTTCCCCAGTGAGAGTCTTGAGAGAGTTGTGTGTGTGTGTGTGTATGTGTATATATATCAAATGATTAACAAAGTGCTGCCTTATATAGATCTCTTGCAAAGCTATACGGCTTAGACTCAAGGCCCCAATGAGGCCCAAATCCAGTCCATATACTGTCTCCATACAGTTGGCTCTCTGTATCAATGGGTTTCATATTGTTGGGTTTGCATTCATGGATCAAAAATACTTAGGGGAAAAAAATGCATCTGTATTGAACATGTACAGATTTTTTTTCTTGTCATTATTCCCTAAACAATGCAGTATAACAACTATTTATATAGCATATATGTTGTAAGATATTATAAGTAATCTAGAGATTATTTAAAGTATACTGGAGGATGTGCATAGGTTAGTATGCAAATAGTATACCATTTTATATTGGGTACTTGATTATTCTCAGATTTTGGTGTTTGCAGGTCTTGGAACCAATTCTTTGTGGATACTAGGGAACACCTATATGTAGATGTCTGTATAATACAAGAACTCAAAGCAGGGTCCAGACTTTAGGTCTGCTAATAAAACCACCAATTAAACAAGTAACTCTTTATTATACTGAAAATGAAAATGCCAACAAAGATTCACTTGACTGAAAAATACTTAATATAAATGATTAATGTTAGAGGTCCAAATGCTAGATGGAATAAATACCCTCTTAGTTGCACAGGAAGAAACAGCAGTGTGTTTAAAACCAATATGATGATGTGTTATTAGTAACATTTTATTAATCCATACCTACCTACATTTATGAACATTTTTTGATTTAAAATTACATTGATATTCTGGGGGGTTTTTTTGCTTTATCATTGGAAATGTCATGTATGTATAAAATGATTATTTAAAGTTATTGAGAGGAAAATGTAATTTTTTTCTAATTTAGGACATGAAAGAAACATAAATGGTTAAGATTCCAGTAAAATATAATAATATCTTCTAGGTATTAATTGATTTTTAACCTTGAAACTTAATGATTATTACTATACTTGCAAAAGAATGGCAGTTACAAAATAATTTTTATAAGTCTATGTTACTGTAAAATTAACAAAAATGAATGAAGAAAAACCTAGGGCAGTGTTATGAGCAAAGTATTCAGAAGTGCTGTTTATTCAGCTAAGGATCCAGCTAAAATTATTTTATCTCTTTGTGATCTTATCTCCAATGTCCATATCTTTTTTTATTCCCCTTGGGAAATCTGATACAGCCTACAGAGATGTATAAAGAACTATAGAATGACCATGAAAATTTGTAATTGGCTGCTGAGACAGACTCCAATACCTTTATTTCCTGCATAGCACCTGCTGGTAGTAAATATTTGATAAATACATATGCATTCCTGAATGTTTTCATGAATTAATCAGGCTGATAATGTTAGGTAATTCAACCTAAATAGACTTTGCTTAAGCTTCTGTTGCATTGAAAAGAAATATTTACTTACGTACTCTGTAAATGTAGTTATTGTATTTATTATACCATCTGAAATGTTTGCATTGAACAATAAAACCTGAAAAGTAGTATCCTTATTATGACACAGAAGACTCATGTAGAAAATATGTTACTGCAGCAAAGTCATATGTACTAAAAGTGTGTAGGTTACACGCAACATGTCATGTGTAATGGAATCCATCCTCTGACATAATTATTAAATCATAACATACTTTTATTAATGCCTCAGCATTGATTATGTATGATTTGGTAGGCAGTTTTTACTTTCGAAATCAAGTGTGTTTTTAAAGAATGAGAAATTTCATTCCCTAAATATAAGCTTATTTTTAAAACGCTTTTTAAAATTTCCCTTTAGATAATTTAAATTATTGCATTCTTAAATATTTTAAATCACTTATCGTATCTGATTCTGTATAACTGTATGCTACAACTAAAAAAAAGTTTTTTTCCATTATAAACTGTAGAATAGTTAAATACCGTAATTACTAAGGTATATCTGATCGCTGTAATCAAACTCTATACTAAAACTAAAAATTAACCATTGATTATAAAAGAAAAACCTTTGAACTTGACAGCATGGTAGAATATGGCAAAAAATAAAAATTAAAAATAAAAATAAAAACCTTAACATTCCAGAAAATAGAAAATAGTACAAATAACATTCTCTGATCATAAGGGAATAAAATAGAAATTAAGGCCAGGCATGGTGGCTCACACCTGTAATCCCAGCACTTTGGGAGGCTGAAGCAGGTGGATCACCTAAGGTCAGGAGTTTGAGACTAGGCTGGCCAACGTGGTAAAACCCCATCTCTACTAAAAGTACAAAAATTAGCTGGGCATGGTGGCAGGTGCCTGTAATCCCAGCTACAGGGGAGGCTGAGGCAGGAGAATCACTTGAACCTGGGAGGCTATAGAACTTTCAAAATTAGAATCAGTTCTCTCAGACCCTGCCACTGCTTTATCAGCTGTTTATGTAATATTCTAGTATTTGTTGTCATTTCAACAGTGTTTACAGAGTCTTCACCAGGAGCAGAGTCCATCTCAAGAAACTGCTTTCTTTGCTTATCCATAACAAACAAGTGAGTGGAGATTGTGCCATTGCACTCTAGCCTGAGCAATAAGAGTGAAACTGTGTATCAAAAAAAAAAAATAGTAAAATTACAAGGTGTCTTTTGGAAATTGTAAATATCAACTCCTCAGTAAGAAAGGAAATAAAAATGGACATTCAAGAATTTTTAAAACAAGGGTAATGAAAATACTACTTATCAGAACCTGAGGGCCATCGCTAAAGCAATGCTGAGAAATATACATCACCTTATTTACTTAAACTAATACAGAATAAGGAATGAGTTAAAGAGTATGACTCTTTTTTTTTTTTTTTTTTTTTTTAGATGGAGTCTCGCTTTGTAGCCCAGGCTAGAGTTCAGTGGCTCGGATCTCAGCTCACTGCAACCTCCGCCACCTGGTCCCAGTTCAAGCAATTCTCTTACCTCAGCCTCCCAAGTGCTGGGATTACAGGCACTAGCCACCATGCCCAGCTAATTTTTTTTTTGTATTTTTGTGTTTTTCAGCAGAGACGGGGTTTCACCATGTTGGCCAGTCTGGTCTTGAACTCCTGGCCTTGTGATCTCCTTGCCTCGGCCTCTCAAAATGTTGGGATTATAGGTGTGAGCCATTGTTCCCGGCCTACTCAAAAATTTCGAAAAAAAATAAACTTGAAGAAAACCAGGAGGAAGGTTCTGTTTTTTTTTGTTTGTTTGTTTGTTTTTAAGGCAGAAATCAGTGACTTTATAACTGGAAATGCAACTAATAAATCCAAAAAGTGATTTTCTTAACAAAAAATAGATAAACCACTAACCTAACATAATCAAGAAAAAAAAATAAAGGTGAAGGAGTTCAAAGACACGAGATAAAGAATAAGGGAAACACAGGCATAACTCAGAGATACTGTGGTCCAATTCTAGATCACTGCAGTAAAGTAAATATCACAGTCAAATAAATCACATTTTTTTATTTCCCACGTCATACAAAAGTTTAACTGTAAACTCACACTGTCTGTTAAGTGTGCAATAGCATAACGTATTTTTATTTTAAAATACTTTATTACTTAAAAATGCTAACTATTATCTGAGCCTTCAGTGAGTCGTAATCTTTTTGCTGGTGAAGAGTCTTGCCTCAGTGTTGATGCTGCTAACTGAACAAAGTGGTGGTTGCTGAAGTTTGAGTTGGCTGTGGCAATTTCTTAAAATAAGACAATGAAGTTTGCTGCATCGGTTGACTGCCTTTCACAATATATTTCTGTATAGCATGTGATACCGTATTACAGAATTTGACCTCCAACAGAACTTTCAAAATTAGAGTCTGTTCTCTCAAACTCTGCCACTGCTTCATCAGCTGTTTATGTAATATTCTACTCTTTGTTGTCATTTCAACAGTGTTTACAAAGTCTTTACTAGGAGCAGATTCTATCTCAAGAAACCATTTTCTTTGCTTATCCGTAAGAAACAACTTTTCCCCAATTCAAGTTTTATTATGAGATTGTAGTAATTCAGGCACATCTTCAGGCTGCAGTTGAAGTTCTTTTGCTATTTCTACCACATCTGCGGTTATTTTTTCCTCCGAAGTTTTGAATTCCTCAAAGTCATCCATGAGGGTGGGAATCAACCTTTTCCAAACTCCTGTTCATGTTGATATTTTTACCCCCTCCCATGAATCACAAATGTTGTTAATGGCATCTAGAATGGTGAATCCTTTCCAGAAGAGTTTCCATTTTCTCTGCCTACATCTATCAGAGGAATCACCATCTGTGGCAGTTTTAGCCTTAAAAAATATGTTTCTTAAATAATAAGACTTGAAATTCAAAATTACTGCTTAATCCATAGGCTGCAGAATGGATGTTGTGTTAGCAGACATTAAAACAACATTCATTTCCTTGTACATCTCTATCAGAGCTCTTGGATGACCATGTGCATTGTCAATGAGCAGTAATATTTTAAAAGAAATCTTTTTTTCTAAGTAATAGCTCTCAACAGTGGGCTTACAATATTCAGTAAACCATGCTGTAAACAGATGTGCTGCCATCCAGGCCTTGTTATTCCATTTAGAGAGCACAGGCAAAGTAGATTTAGCATAATTATTGAGGGCCCTACAATTTTGAGAATGATAAATGCAAATAAGCATTGGCTTCAACTTAAAGTCACCAGCTGTATTAGCCCATAACAAAAGAGTCAGCCTGTTCTTTGAAGCTTTGGAGCCAGACATTGACTTCTCTCTAGCTATAAAAATCCTAGATGGCACTGTCTCCCAATAGAAGGTTGTTTCATCTACTTTGGAAATCTGTTATTTAAGGTAGGCACTTTCATCAATGATCTTAGCTAGATCTTAATGGATAATTTATCAGAGCTTCTATATCAGCACTTTCTGCTTCACCTTGCACTTTTATGTTATGGAAATGGCTTCTTTCCTTAAACCTCATGAACCAATGTCTGCTAGCTTAAAATTTTTCTTCTGCAGGTTCCTTATGTCTGTCTTCATGGAACTGAAAAGAGCTAGGACCTTGCTCTGGATTAGTATTTGGCTTAAGGGAATGTCGTGGCTCATTTGATCTTCCATCCAGACCACTCAGATTTTCAACATAACAATTAGCCTGTTTCGTTTGCTTATCATTCATATGTTCACTGGAATAGCACTTTTACTTTCCTTCAAGAACTTTTGCTTTACATTCACAATTTGGCTAACTGGCACAAGAGGCCTAGCTTTCAGTTTATCTTGGCTTTTCAACATGCCTTCCTCACTAAGCTTAATCATTTCTAGCATTTGATTTAAAGTGAGAGATGTAAGACTCTTCCTTTCACTTGAACACTTAGAGGCCCTTATAGGATTCTTAATTGGCCTAATTTTAATATTGTTGTGTCTTAGGGATTAGGGAAGCCCAAGGAGAGTGAGAGAGGCAGAGGTAAGAGAATGGCCAGTCAGTGAAGTGGTCAGAACACATACAACATTTATCTATTAGGTTTGCCATCTTATATGGGCATGGTTCATGGTGCCCCCCCAAATATTAAAATAGTAACATCAAAGATCATTGATCATAGATTACCAAAACAAATATAATAATTTACGAGTTTGACACATTATGAGAATTACCAAACCGTGACACAGACAAGCAGTGAGCACATGCTGTTGGAAAAATGACCAGTAGACTTGCTTGATCAGGGTTGTCACAAAGTTCAGTTTGTTTAAAAAACAAAAACAAAACACAGCATCTGTGATGCATAATACAGCAAAGTGCAATTAAACAAGGTATGCCTGTACTCAAAGAAACAAAGCAAACTAAAATAAGGAATAAATTCATTCAATTCTTCTAGATATTTTGAACTTGGATTTGAAGTAGATTGACTTTCTAAGACAGTATTATTTATTAAAACTGATCCTAGAAGAGATAGAATAGTCCCAAAAAACCAATTCCCATAGAAGGGAAAAAAAGTTTTTCAAAACTCCCCCGCACCTTACACTAACACTTAATTGGACCCTGATAGTTTTACGATAGAATTTTACCAAACCTTTAAGGAGCTGGTAATTCTAATGTTATTTAAACTATTCTTGAGAGTTAAAAAAAAAAAAACTTTCAGATTATTTTTATAAAGTGAGTAGAACCTTGATACCTGCTTGACAAGATTATGAAAACTGTGGATTATTCTTACTTAAAAATAGCACTGCAAAAGTCCTAAATATTACAGGGATAAAACTATAGATATTAGCAATATTCCAGCAGAGCACATTCATAAGTAATTAACCAAGTAAGAGTTTATTCCAGGAAGACAGGTTAAGTGTTGCTCACCTGGAATGCTTGGAACTGGAAGAATTAATGATTACAGAATTTTTTTTTCATTTTGAAATATTTACATTTGACCAATTGAGCACTCCTAATCCACAAATTTACAATCCATGTCAGTGCTCAAGAAGTTTTGGATTTTGGAGCAGTTAGGATTTCTGATTTTTAGATTAGGGATGCTTCAACCTGTATAAGAATAGTTCAATATTAGGAAAGCTGATGTTGTACCTCATGTTATTGATAGGTCCAAGGGGAAAAATTACATATTTTCTATAGCTCCTGAAAAGGTATTTGACCAAAAACAAACAAACAAACCATTCTGTATAAAACACTCAAAGAAATAGAATAGATTCTTTCTTAGTATGATAAAAATAATTACCTCAGTTCAAAAGCTAGCATATTTAGTGGGGGAAACTAGAGTCACTCCCACTAAATTCAAAAATAAGATGAAGATATTTTCCATCACTAATATTATTAACATTAGACTGAAGATACCAGTCAACATAATTAGACAGCAGAAAGAGACTAACAATATAAAAATTAGAAATGAGATGATAAAATTATCACTTTTTGCAGATGGCATGATTGTATACCTAGAAAATTTACAAAAATCAGCTGAAAAACTGCTACAAACAAAAATTTAGTTGAGTAGCAGAGTACACAATTATTGTGCAGAAAGTAATAACCTTCATGTGTATCAACAACGATCAGATTGAATATTTACTGAAAGACTTCATTTATCTGGAAATAAATTTAAATATGCAAGACTTATGGGGAAAAAATATAAACTGTCTCTCTGTAGGTCACAAAAGATTACAAACAAATGGAAAGACGACCAAGTTCTTAGAAAGATTCCATCAAAAATAGCAATAGGTTTTGTTTCTGAATCTAAGTAAACTAATTCAAAAGTTATTTGGCAGGGCCAAGGGGAAGCAAGAACAGGAAGTCTGAAAAAGAGCAGTTAGGGGGAACTAGCGTTGTAAAATAGCCATATTATGAAGCCTCAGAAATTCAGACAGTGTGGTGCTGGCACATGAAACAGAATAGGAAGAAAGCCTAGAATGTAGACACAGACACATGAGAATCCAGTATGTGGTAAAGGTGGCGTCTACAACCAGTGGAGAAACATGAGCTGTTTAAATGATATAAGGACTACCGGGCAGCTGTGTGAGAAAGAATAAAGTTGAATTCATACTGTATCCTATATAGTAAGATAAATTACAAATGACTCAAAAGATAAAGTTACTTTAAAAAATAAAATAAACCATAAGAGTACCTGAAGACAACATAGAATGGGAAGATCTTTTTAACTGATTCAAAATCCATAAGCATAAAAAAGGATATATTTTCATACTGAATGCTCATATTTTTGGCACTGTCTGATAATTTTGGTAATCAAGTAAGTGAAATTTACTTTAAAATGGGAAACCATTTTTATATCAGCTGTTTCACTTAGAGGTCTTTTCAGCTTATTTCTAGTTTCGAAACCAATTTTTCAAAATTGCCAGAAGTTTTTCAAATAGGCTGGTGGAGCTTTATAGACCAATGTCAGATTAGAACATACTTAAAAATGAAACACTTGTCAGTATCTGTTATTATTTGTAAAGAATATCCTATTGATATTTTTAATGATTCCTTGTGATTACCTCATTATGTTATGCTTTACATTTTAATACATCCCTATAAGCAATAATTTTAAACTACCCCCACATCTTTCCATAATGCAGAAAGGTCTCTAGAGGAAACGTGAGAAAGAGGACGTGTCTTTAAGAAGATTCATTCCTGGTCACACACTCAGGATTATTTAATCTTTACAGATTGGTTGGCTATAAAGCAGAAAGTAATTTGCATATTAATATGGGGAGATGTTTTCATATATATTTTCTTTTGAAGTGCAAGTATGACTTTTGCTGGATTTGCCTAGAAGAGTGGAAAAAACATAGTTCTTCCACTGGAGGTTATTACAGATGTACTCGCTATGAAGTCATTCAGCATGTGGAGGAGCAATCCAAGGAAATGACTGTGGAGGTAAAGAGAACCAATTAAGCCAAGACCTCCCTCTAAGCCGCTCACTGCCACTGAAATTATTTTGCATTTCTTCTTTTTCTGTTTTCATCTTAATAAGGTATTGAATTGAATGCACTTTATGATAGCCTTTAATTTCAACAAAATAGCTCTGTAAACTTGAGAGTTTTGTCCCTTTTACATTTTCCATTTTTTATTTTGGTGAAGATATATATGAAAAGTCTGATACATCCCAGCCTATCTCTGCAAAGACTTAAAAACGTTTTAATATTAATATCAACAATGCAATATTACATTATACTGTATAGTAAGTATCTTAGTCTGCTCATTTGCCATAGAAAATAACACAGACTGGGTGGCTTAAACAACAGAAATTTATTTCTCAGAGTTCTGGAGGTTGTGAAGTCCAAGGTCAAGGTGCTGGCCAATTTGGTTCTTGAGGAGGGCACTCTTCTTGGCAGGCAGACAGCCACCCTCTCACTATGTCCTCTGGTGGCTGGAAAAGACAGAGACACCTCTGGTGTCCCTTCCACTTCTTATAAGCGTACCAGCCCTATTAGAATAGTGCCCCACCCTGATGACCTTATTTAACCTTTCTCACAGGTCCTATCTTCAAATACTGTCACAATGGGGATAAGGCTTCAAAATACAAATTTTAGGGGGATACCATTAGTCCATAGCAAAAAGCCACATAATAAAACATTGAAGGCCAGGCACGGTGGCTCATGCTTGTAATCCCAGAATTTTGGGAGGCCAAGGCAGGTGGATCACTTGAGGTCAGGAGTTCAAGACCAGCCTAGCCAACATGGTGAAACCCCATCTCTACTAAAAATACAAAAATTAGCCAGTCATGGTGGTGGGCTCCTGTAATCCCAGCTACTCAGGAGGCTGAGACAAGAGAATAGCTTGAACCCAGGTGGCGGAGGTTGCCATGAACTGAGATTGCACCACTGCACTCCAGCCTGGACAACAGAAGACAATATTTCAGAAAAAAAAAAAAAAATGGAGATTGGGAGGTTTCTTTGCCTTAGACTCTGGGATTTTGGATTCAGGGATTTGTCACAGGATACAAATGGAAGACTTTGTTCTGAGAGCTTTTAAGATGTGTTGTTTTCTGTCAAGAAAATAATTCACAAATCTGAATGCAGTACTGTCTGTCACTAATAAAACTTTTAAATGATCCCCCCAAAGAAACTGTTTTAGTAGCTACTAGTTTTTGTAAGTCATTTGTGGACTTTTGTTTTCTAGGCTGAGAAAAAACACAAACGATTTCAGGAACTTGACAGATTTATGCACTATTATACCAGATTTAAAAATCATGAGCATAGTTATCAGGTATGTCCCAAATCATTTCAAATGAGCTGACCTCTACTGTTGTGAATAAATAAAGAGAATGGTTTAAATTATTTATTTCTATTCTTTTAGTTAGAGCAACGCCTTCTTAAAACAGCCAAAGAAAAGATGGAACAATTGAGTAGAGCTCTCAAAGAAAGTAAGTTATAAGTTGTATGTGTGATAATTGATATAAAATATTCTTCCTTGCTGTCACTTCACTAGTAGGTTAGGTCCTGAAAGGAATACATTTTGTCCATTAGCTTGTTCTGGTACTGTTTTGAGTTCTCTGAAGCCCTGCGTGCAGCTTAGAAGATGAGACTTCTGTGATTGGATTTTCTACCCAGCACTTAGCCTCCTCTTGATGCGCTGTTACAAGACAAAAATAATTCATGATTTTGCTTACTGTGTGTCACTACTGATGCTCTACAGTGTTCGGAAAAGTGGATGGGTCCTAAAGGGCATAACTGACCTAGTCAGAGGGGCAAGATACACGTGCTACCCAATTGTCATGTAACTGAATACCCAAAAATTCTTGAGAAAATTTAGCAGAGTGCCTAAGGGTATGGAAGTTTGTAATAGTTTGGGGAGAAATCATTTCACTGGCAAATAATGAACATTGGGGTAAAAAAGCAAAGCCATGAGGAGGAGCTAACATGTGGGGCCCAAATTTTAAGTTAGAATAGTCCAAAATATGGTTTGAGTATTGATAGCATCATTAGAATGTAATAACCCGCAGTGACTACACAGAGTACAGGTTCTGGTGTTTTGTTTTTTAAAAGTCACCTTTTAAAAATAATAGCTTACATATGAAAAGTACATTTTAAAGTGAAAAATGTGATGTTATACTTGGGTTGCTCCAATTTATTAAAATAATGAGTACTAAAATCCTTTTCATTAGGATAATTCTCTAATCAAGACAATATCATAAATTAAATAGAATGGGGGAGAAAATGTCAATAGCAGTGTAGCCTGCTTGTTATATTAGTTCTTAGACTTCATTAATGATATAACTATATTAGGCAATATCAAACTCCTGAAGTATTGTCCACCGGAAAAATTGAGAGGAAAAAAATCTTCACAGTTATACAACTCTTCAGCAGGGATTTTTGTCTGGTCATTAATGCATCCCTAGTGCTTCCAACTGTGCCTGCCACTTGAAAACGTTCAGTATTTGTAGATGTGACTTATTGCTACTATTCAGCATTCTGGACGTTTCAAGCAACATAATAGGGAAAAATATGAAAATGTACAGCAGTTGGAAAGGAAGAAGCAAAACTTCACACATTTCTCACATACGTCAGAAATCTCAGGGTAATCTATATGTCAGTTTGTGTACACACACTATTAATTTCTTTCTACAGGCGTCCAGAATAATCGGATTTTCAACAGTATTTGCAAATTTAGACTCTCATGCTTAATTTGTTTTTTTCTTTCTTTCTTTCTTTTTCAGTTAAGCAAAAACCTAGAATGTTATAATGACTGTCTTAGAAGAGTCTCAGATATTAAGGCAGTTTTGTCTTCCATCTTCCTCATTCTTCCTTACTTTCTTTCTTTCTCTGAAGTTTTTTATTAACTAGCATTAGTTATCTAGTTGTTTGCCAGAATATTGTATCTTTTTCTTTACAGTATTGATTTTGCACAATTAGGCTTTTTTTTTTTTTTTTTTTTTTTTTTTTAGCAAGCAACTTAGAAAAGGCATTTGTTCTCATTTTTAAGCAGGGAAATTCTGCTAGGGATAATCTGAAAAACTTAGTAAAGCCTAGAACCTTTTGGCTGACATAAAGCTAGATTTGCTTATCAATGGAGTGAGACTAGAATCCAAGATGAGTATGTGCATTCCTTTTTGACTACCATCAGTGCTCCTGGGCTGCTAGGGCATATGTTTCTTTTATACACACATTCATGTCACACATGAGTATTTTGTGTACGTTTTTAGTTTGGTTCAAATAAGCATATTCATACAGTTACTTAAAACAGTTTTTGTCCTAACGATCCTTCTTTTTTCTTTTTGGAGAAAAAAATAATCGTTTGATTAATATCATAAATAGCATATTTGCAAAACAACTTCACTGTGCCTCAATTACTTTTTAGCTGAAGGAGGCTGTCCAGATACCACTTTCATTGAAGATGCAGTTCATGTGCTCTTAAAAACTCGGCGTATTCTCAAGTGTTCTTATCCGTACGGATTTTTCTTGGAACCTAAAAGCACAAAGAAAGAAATTTTCGAACTAATGCAAGTAAGATATTTTTTAATTACATTTAAATGGCAGCAGTTATTAGGAAAAACTGAGTTTTTCTTTTTTCAAACCACTTGTTTTATTTAATGTGGGTGTGATTAGTAAAACAATTTTCTTTTCATTTTTTAAATGGTTTTTAAATAAAGGAAAAGTTACCAGTAATAAACCGAAATTTTCTTTCTGTTTAAATCTGTCACACTTCAGGTCTGAATGACCTATGAGTGATGCAAACATTTACTATAGCATTTATGTATGTCTTTTAAACTAGTTCAGGTTTGAAATCAGACATATTTCTGATGATGTAGTTAAGAATTTTATCATCAAAATGAAACAAGCCACATTACGTACAAGATGAGAAATTTGCTGTTTACCAGTTTTTTTTTTTTTAATCAACTGAAAAAATTATAGTATTTAAAAAACAAAAACACCTAAGCCAGCTGGCATCACTATAGCTAAATAACTTCATTGTACATTTCTTTTCTTTTGAAGCCACTAAACTTTTTCTTGTTACAGTTTTCATGTCATCCCTTTGAACTGTCCTCTGCTAATTTATATCCTACATTTCATCAAGGCTCAGTATTCATTTTCTCCATAAACTCTTCCAGACTTGCCCTGATTACTGATTACGTGATTCAAATTCCTTCAGCACTTTTTATATAGTCTGCACCATGGCATCATGCATTTGCTCGTATAGTGCATTGAAATGTATTAGCTTTTTTCACATAAACAAATTATAAATTCCTTGTAGACAGCTCCTATACTCACTACTACTTTGTAATTTATACCAATTTCATTTCTATAAATGCCTATCAGATGAGTGCTATTTTTTTAAATTTCACATGATTTTATATACAATCCCTCTTTCTCTTTTGTAATCTAGAAAACATGTACAAAATAGAAAATACATTACATAGAAAGTTATTTCAAAATTTGAACTAGTTTCTTACTTCAAAACAGTTAGATTTAACTGAGAAACCACATAGACTCTGGATTTGCTATTGATTAACCTATGAAACCTGTGATCTTTTTTTTTAACTCTGCTTACTATAGACAGACCTAGAAATGGTCACTGAAGACCTTGCCCAGAAAGTCAATAGGCCTTACCTTCGCACACCCCGCCACAAGATCATCAAAGCAGCATGCCTTGTTCAGCAGAAGAGGCAAGAATTCCTGGCATCTGTGGCTCGGGGAGTAGCTCCTGCAGACTCACCAGAAGCTCCAAGACGCAGGTAAAAAGGATGTACACTGTGGAAATCATCCCCTCTCCAGCCACAAATGCCAGCAGTTTTATTTTTTTATCCAACTAAGTTTCATATTCCTGGAAATTACTTACACCTAAAATATGGATAGCTGATAAAAATATGTTAACTCTTTTTTCGTGATTTTTTTTCTCCATACTATTTCTGTTTTTCGTTATTTTTTATTTGTTTATCAGGTAGTGCCTCAGACTAAATTAACCTAGGTTAATTTCACATTTCAAGTGAACTCATAATTAAGAGTATTCTAATTCATCATTTCTTTTTTTGTTTTGTTTTGTTTTTAGAGTGAACATGATTGCTAGTCATTTCAAGTATGTAATATATGTTGTGATTTGATAGTTATAAACTTCTTATGATGCAGAATTTGGAAACTTTGCCAACTTGTTATGGTCATATTTGTATTTTTGTGTAAAGAAGTTGTGAAGGAAAGAGAAATTTGATATTCCTAGTGATCCAAACTCACCCACTAAAGATCAGTTGAGTTATGGTTGTTTTATTTTACCTACTCATACTACCTCTGTAAATTGAAGCATACTTTCCTATTTATAATAATTATAAACATTAAATGTTCCTTTGGCACTGTTTTACATAAGTTCCTTTGATCCATTTTTTATATAATATTTAGGAGTAAATATATACTTGTAAAATAAAAATAGAAGCAGTTATAAAATACTTTGTTATAACATAGTAATTTTTATTTATTTATTTATTTATTTATTTATTTATTTTTTTTATTTATTTTTTTTTTTTTGAGACGGAGTTTCGCTCCTGTTACCCAGGCTGGAGTGCAATGGCGCGATCTCGGCTCACCGCAACCTCCGCCTCCTGGGTTCAGGCAATTCTCCTGCCTCAGCCTCCTGAGTAGCTGGGATTACAGGCACGTGCCACCATGCCCAGCTAATTTTTTGTATTTTTAGTAGAGACGGGGTTTCACCATGTTGACCAGGATGGTCTCGATCTCTTGACCTTGTGATCCACCCGCCTCGGCCTCCCAAAGTGCTGGGATTACAGGCTTGAGCCACCGCGCCCGGCCGTAATTTTTATTTTTTGATCACTTTACGCAAATATAAAAACTTAGAATTTGAAATAAATAATGAAATTATCATTTTAATTCTGTTTTAATAGTTGATCTACCTTGGTTAAGCAAGTTCCAAGAGGAATTCAAAGTAGTGTTCAAAGGGCAAGGATCTGATTGTGTATACTTTGTAGTACTGTTATTAAATCAAATGGTATGTTTAATTTCTTTGTAGCTTTGCTGGTGGAACATGGGATTGGGAATATTTAGGATTTGCATCACCAGAGGTAATTGTTTTATGGGGTTTTTGTTTTGTATTTTTTCTTAGTGCAATTGTGCTTGCATTTGCATCCTTATCTATTCTAAATCCTACTTAGGTTATCAGCAATGCCCTCTCTTTCTTTTATAACTAAAATGCCTTGACAGAACCTACATTTAGCTATTTATGTGGTATTGGTGTATCATCACATTGTTAAATGCATTACTCTTTTATTGTTTTTAATTACTGAATAGTCAGAATTAAGGCAAATTTACAATATACATTTTTGAAAAAATCTTCTAATTTGTTAATAGACAATTTCATTTATTAGAAATGCATTTCTAGTTATAATATTGTTTTAGTCTGAAACTATTAAAAATATAAAAGAACAATCTTTTTTTAAAGTTAATGCAACGACCTGAGGGAATTGATTTATAATCAGTTGCTAAAGTGGAAAACTTGACATTAATAATGTGTATGCAGAAAGAAGTGCTTTGCTTGGTTGCTTTCTGCTTATCTGTAAGACTTTCACACTCTTCTTTTTTGTTGTTGTTGTCATTAATATACCGTTTTAAAATACAGAAGGTCTGAATTACACTGCAGATAGCAGCTGTGGCAAATAAAAATAAGACAGAGTGAAACTCTTAATCGCAGAACTGTTTTCTGAGATTTAAATTGCCACTGTCACTGTTGAGTCTGATTTTAAAATGGTTTTAGCAGTTCTCTGTACTTCTCTCTTTCCATCCTTGCTCTTTATTAAATAAACAGTATTTGATGCCTATATTATGATAACCCTTCACTTAATTTTTTGAAGGGGACAGGACAAATGATGACAGCTTTGTTTGTAATGTATAACCCATTCGTTATCTGCAACTGAAAGACAATGAAATTGATTATTATCCAGGCATGACTGTGGCTTATTTAAATCGGATACTTTCTCTTTTCAGTTGCTGAAGATACTTGCAATCACCTGTGGCTTTTGTGTTGGTAGATACATCCAAAAAAATATTGACTTGAAAAAAAAATTGTGCTTAGAGCTCTGATCTGGAAATTTTAAATTTACTTAAATTATTTAAAATTGTGATATATTAATGAAATTTTTATTTTAAAACAGTGAACCTTTTTCTTTATCTGATCCTGTACTATTATTATTTCTATGTTATAATATATTTACAGCTTCAGGGATATTGTCGCAAATTTCCACCTAAAAGGAAGAATAAGCAAACTGAAATTATTAAAAAAAAAAAAAAAAAAAAAAAAAAAAAAAAAAAAAAAAAAACTAATTATTTAAGTATTTTAAGGTGAAAACACAATTTAGCAAAAATAAAACCTTCATCAGTGTATTCATAATCATGTATGTATATCATCTTAAAGCTTCTGGGTCTGACAGGAACTTTAGGAATCCTGAAATATTTGTCCTTGAGTATTGAGGGCCTACCAATATGATTGTCACTTTATCTTTTATGAATTGATAATTTTTTATAAATTATTTACTTTTAGTTTTCTTTAGTCCTTAACATATTGAAACACTAGGCTTTTATGTAAACCTTGTTGCAGATATAAAGAATTACTACACATTGTGAGACTTTCAAATTCTGCATGTGTACGACTATCAAGTAACTGCTAAAATTATATTTTTTAAAAATAGCTCTTTGCCTTAATAAAGACTGTGAGGGAAAAAAAAACAAGGTTACCAACTCCAGGATACTTAGGTTGAATTTATTTTTTTTTTCAGTGAAGTTAATTTCATCTTATTCTTTTCAATTTAAATTGAGTCTGGCAAGCATAAAAGTTTGTTTTATGCTACTTTAAAGGCAGTGGAGCTTAGTGAAAATAGCATAAAGTCTGAGGAACATCTGAATTCAAGTTCTAAGAGTAAGTTAATAGATCCTAGGCTATATTCTTTCTTAATTTCTCATCTTTACAGTGTGGATGGTGATACCCCATGGAAGTTCTAGAAGGATTAAAGCATCTCATTAAGTCAGTGACAAAATTTCAATTATTACTTAAAACGCCTTCTTACAGCTTTTCCCTCTATAAATACTAGAACTTTTTAGTCTTCTCTGTGTCCTTAACATTCTCAAACTACTTGGAGTATACCGACTACACCCTTTTAATATGCATTCTTGAAGATCTTAGGAATCCTTGGAAACTTTCAGAAAAATTTTATTATATGAGAACAATATTTTTAATCATGTTGCATCATGAGAGAATATCATCTGAAGAGTTTTCTGTCAGAACAATTAGAAATACAAGTTTCTTTTGCAGTTTCTTTTAAATGGTTTTGTTTTCTTAAATTGGAAATATGTATAGTCTATGGTAATAGTTTCATTCATAACTTTATACCATTATGAATTTTACAAAGTAAGCAAATTATCCCTATATAAACCTTGAATTGAGATAAAATTTTCTTTTTAGACACCATTTTTGTCTAAGAAATATATGTAGTTGGTGTTCCTCACTGGTCTATTAAGCCTTGATGACACATAAGTTATCAGTTTGAGTTCATGGGCCTCTAGGAAGCTAGGAAATGATGCCCCAGCTCAGCAAGAAATTTTAAAGAACCTGTATAAACCCTCAGGGCACTTGGAGTATCTTTCATTTATTAGTCTCTAACCTAACAGGATGCCTCTCCTTCTTATTAAGAGTCCAACTACTTATATAAATGAAGGAGTTCAAATAAATGTCACCAGAGTGGTATGATGTGAAAGTTTTATTTGTGATGTAAAATTTGTCTTCCCCTACTCCTAGTACTTTCACAATATAAGCATATTGAATATTCTAGGGTAACCAGGATAATCATAAAGTTGAGTGTCTTAGTGTTTATCACAGAAAGACACCGTAATGATTCTCTAAATTAGCCCTTTTATGTTAGTATCATGTACCCTGGCTACCTCCCTTCCCCTTCCCTCCATTCCCCTCCCCTTCTCTTCCCTCCCCTCCTCTTCCCTTCCCTCCCTTCTCCTTTTCTTCCCTCCCCTCTCCTTCCCTTCTCCTCCCCTCCCTCTCCCTTCCCTTGCCTTCCCTCCCTTGCCTTCCCTTCCTTCTTCTTCCCTTCCCTCTCTTTCCCTCCCCTCCCCTCCCTTCCAATCCCATCCTGTCCTGTCCTGTCCCTCCTGTCACTAAAAGTACATTTATACCCAGGTAATAGCAGATGGTTCCAAGTTGTACCCTCGTGATAGCAAACTCTCTTTAAATATTGTCACAAATGTAAAAGAGACTGAGGACATCTGCCTAAGTCTGTGTTCATCCCATATGCTAAATGGAAGACATTTCCCCTGCCTGTGTTGTAAATAGCACCACATATTGGCTTATAAAGAAAAGAAGCTAAATAATCATCTTATTTTAAGGCTAATCTAACATTTGACTTTTAATCTAGTCATTTGATTTGTGAGTGTTGTATGTAGTAGTCCCAAAGAATAGAAAATCCAACAATCTGGCAAGTACTTAACAGTGTGTGCTCTTTTTTATTTTTGTTCCTTTTTTTTCTGTTACATATATCCCAGTCACTTTTTTTTTTTTTTCTTTTGAGTTGGAGTCTTGCTCAGGTCGCCCAGGCTGGAGCACAGTGGTGTGATCTTGGCTCACTGCAACCTCTGCCTCCCAGGTTCAAGTGATTCTCCTGCCCCAGCCTCCCAAGTAGCTGAGATTACAGGCCCCAACACCACGCCCAACTAATGTTTTTGTATTTTTAGTTGAGATGGGGTTTCACCATGTTGGCCAGGCTGGTCTTAAACTCCTGACTTCAGGTGATCCGCCCATCTCGGCCTCCCAAAGTGCTGGGATTACAGGCGTGAGCCACTATGCTCAGCCCCAGTCAGTTTTGTGAAACCACTTTCATGTCCAAGTGCAATGGCTCACACCTGTAATCCCAGCTACTTAGGAGGCTGAGGCAGTGGGGATTGCTTGAGGCCAGGAGTTCAAGACCAGTTTGAACAACATAGCAAGACCCTGTCTCTAAAAAAGAGAGAGAGAGAGAGTAATATGATTGTGGTATTAATTATAATAATTAGATAACAAGATCCTTGAAATCATCAGGCATATGAAATAGGGCTGTTCTAATCTAGCATTGGAGCTTGCAAGTATTCCCATTTATCTAGGCAATTGTAATGACTGTTGAAAACTTTTTTTTTTTCCATTTTACCTTTTGTGTTTCCTTGGCATGGCAAAACCTGATGTTTCAGCCAAGTGATTTTATAATATGTGTATAAAATCACAAACTTTTTCCTCTGGAAAAAAAGTGTGTGGTTTGTTTTATTTGCATTTTAAAAATTGCATGCTCTCTTGTATTTTATAACCTTTGGTTTATGCAGGAATATGCTGAATTTCAGTATCGGAGGAGGCACAGACAACGTCGTCGAGGAGACGTGCACAGTCTGCTCAGTAATCCTCCAGAGCCTGATGAGCCAAGTGAAAGCACTTTAGGTAAACCCTTGGGTTGTGTATGGTTTAATCCCGAAGCTCTCCTGAATTTATCCTTCAAACTGGCTGATGTAAATGTTTATAAAACAGTTTGTCATTTAGATATAAATATGCAGATGCTTCTATTGTGATAGGATAAAGAAAATCAGAGGAGTTAAGAGCATGGGCCGTGGAGTCAGGCAAACTTGGATTTATTACCCCATCTCTGCTGCATATTAGCTGCGTAACTTAGCCAATTCACAGCGTCTCTAGGGCTGTTTCCACATTCTAAAAAAACACTAATAATAGTGCCACCTTATAAGCTCATTGTGAGTATTAAATTAGATAATGCATCTAAAACACGTAAGCACCTAGTGAGCACTCAGTTAACTGTAGTATTGATACTGTTTTTGTGTTCATATATTTGTCTCCTAGCCTTAGTTGTCCTGTAGACATTATTTAAGAGAGAGAGAATTTCTGGCATTAGAGATATTAATTATTCAACCTTTATTATTAAATTATTAAGTGAAAATATTATTAAGTGAAAATCTTCCAACTATAATGTCAGGATCAATGGGACTAAAGATTTGCTTTTCAGACTTTTGTAATTCCCAAATTATTTAATTTTAAGAAATCTAAAAATGAAAAACCTTTTTTAGTTATTGCTTAACAAAGAAAGAGAAATGGATAGTAACACTTGCATTTATGAATAGAACCATATAGACTGCAAGCAAAAATGTAAAAACGTCAGGCACGATGATTCATGCCTGTCATCCCAGCACTTTGGAAGGCCAAGGCAGGCAGATCACCTGAGGTCAGGAGTTTGAGACCATCCTGGACAGCGTGGTAAAACCCTATCTCTAATAAAATTACAAAAATTCGCCGGGCATGATGGCACATATCTGTAGTACCAGCTACTCAGGAGGCTGAGGCAGGAGAATCGCTTGAACCCAGGAGGCGGAGGTTGCAGTGAGCCGAGATTGCGCCACTGCACTCCAGCCTGGGTGACAGAGGCTTTTTTTAACCTTTACTCAAAAAAAAAAGGAAAAAGTCATGGATTAGAAGTGATAGTGTCATATATATGTTATTGCTCATGGTAAGACAAATATGGATGAGAAATCCTAGAAAGATTAAGTGAACATGTCACCACAGGTTTTCCCCAGCACTGAAAGAGAAATTGCCAATTTAAACAACCAGGTGTATGTCTCACTTGTCACTAAATTGTCTTTGGTACCAATTGCTTTGAAACAGATATTCCAGAAGGCGGCAGCAGCAGCCGCAGACCTGGCACATCCGTGGTAAGTTCTACATCTATGAGTGTACTGCACAGCTCTTCCCTGCGTGACTACACCCCTGCCAGTCGCTCTGAAAACCAGGACTCTCTTCAGGTAGCCTTTCTGAGCAGCCTCATTGCCTATGCTTTTGCTCTTTCTCTGTTGAGTGTGGTTTCCTGTTTTTATTTTCATTGCTTTCCTGTTTCTTCCTTCCATTCTAAAATCTTTGTTCTAAACGTGGGCTGCAGGAAAAGATTTTACCATATTTTAGATTTATTTTAAGGTAGGGTTTTTTTCCTTTTGCATGGGCACAGAGAAAATTATAATAAGATTTTAGTAGATAAAATAATTACTCTGTATAAATAGAATTCATAATCTGTTGGTAAAGGAAGAATGATAAACCTGATTGGGTTAAATCAGGTTTTTTTTAGTCAAATTTTAAAGTGGTTTTGCTTTCTGTTGCTTCAGGCTCTGAGTTCCTTGGATGAAGATGATCCCAATATACTTCTTGCAATACAGTTATCACTGCAAGAGTCTGGGCTGGCCATCGATGAAGAAACTAGAGACTTCCTCAGTAATGAAGCATCCTTAGGTGCGATAGGCACTTCTTTACCTTCCAGGCTGGACTCTGTCCCCAGAAATACAGATAGCCCTCGGGCTGCATTGAGCAGCTCTGAGCTTTTGGAACTTGGTGACAGCCTCATGAGACTAGGAGCAGAGAGTGACCCATTTTCAACTGACACCCTCAGTTCACACCCTCTCAGTGAGGCAAGAAGTGATTTCTGTCCCTCATCCAGTGACCCTGATTCAGCTGATCAAGACCCCAACATCAATGACAATCTTCTTGGCAACATCATGGCTTGGTTTCATGACATGAACCCTCAGAGTATTGCCCTGATTCCTCCAGCAACTACAGAAATTAGTGCAGATTCCCAGCTCCCCTGTATCAAAGATGGGTCAGAAGGTGTGAAGGATGTGGAACTGATGCTGCCGGAAGATTCAGTGTTTGAAGATGCCAGTGTCAGGGAAGGTAGAGGAACCCAGATGGAAGAAAATCATTTGGAAGAAAATATTCTGACTGAGGAAGCAGCATCTCAAGCTGGTGACAGTGGTAATGAGGTGGCCAACAGAGTAGATGGTTCAGATGTTTCAAGTCAAACACCTCAAACCTCAAGTGACTGGCTTGAACAAGTACATTTAGTGTGAACTGCACACATCTGGGCTCTAAATGAATTACAGTTATAGATGGTATGCTAGGTGGAGTATGCTTGATAGGGACCTTGATTCACTTAATTCCAACTCAGTGATAAACCACCAACATTAGGGTTGAATACAAAGGAGTTCCCTTGAATGGTAGCTTCATTTTTTATTTTAACCTTACAGGGAATTTCCTTTGTACTTAATCGAATAGCTTTTCCCCTTTCTGCTGACAAAAAGAAGAGCAAGAGAAAGAGAAATAAAAATGAAATAAATAGGTTGTATTCCACATTTTAAGAAAATGCAGTCCTCTATTTAGCCTAGGGTTGACAATACTTAAATTGAACATTTAAACTAAAGGCTTACTCCCTAATCTTTGGGTGGCTTTCCTTTAAAAACAAAAAAAAAGTTTTCTTCATTCTAGAAATTCATTTTGGATAGATCCGATAACATGTATGTTCTCAATCTCTTTGTGCTCTTCTGTAACTTCCTTTCTTCCTTTTTGTCTAAGCAATGTGCATTGAAGTCTCTTTAGTACCACATCTACCACAGTGTAATTAGTTTTAATTTTCACATGAAGCAAAGATTTCCTTTCATGTCTATTTACAGTCCAATTGTGCCAAACTCTGACTTGTGTGCTGACTAACAAGGCATTTAGGTGTGCAGCATCCTAGAGTGCTCCAGGGCAGTGTCAGCGTTCTTGGGAGTCAAAGGTGCCACTCAGTAGCAATGATAGTCCAGAATTACATGGGTTTTTGTTGCCGTGGAGACTGCATTTATATAAATGTAGCCTGTAGCTTAAGTTAACTAAACCTAATGCTGCTGTTAAAAAGTTTATTTTAATATTAAAATACAGTTGATTAGCAACAGCGGTGCTGTATTTTAAGAGACACTTTATTGGAAGTGCAATCATAGTTATTTGTTTTCACAATTTTACAGTGCATTCTAATTACTAATGGGTGCAATTACTTTTAATGGTAGGTGTTTTATAAAATAGAAAAAAAAGTGGAGTTTTCATGAGTTATAGTAAATCCCACGATTATTAAGAAATTCAGTAAAACATCCTGCGCAACATGTTACCGTGCCTTTGCCTAACCTAAATGGATAGTTGCCAGTTAAATAAGTGAGTAATTCAAATTTCAATGTCTCTTCTGAAGTAACTATGCTATGAATTGCAAAGACCTCCATAAAACCACCCATGGCCTTGCTTTTACAGTAACAACTAAATGTTCAGTTTGTTTGCCTAACTAGCAAATGCTGACATGTGTTTGTTCTATTGCACAATACTCATTTGCTGTGTGATTACTGTTTAGTGTTGAAAAAAATCAACTTCCTAGTTATCAGTGTCTACTGTGAAGAAAATACTGGTCTTAGTTATAATTAAGATACAATGGTACAGTGTGTAATTAAAACTAGAGTAAACTGTTGGAATGGCTGTTTTACTTACATATTATCAAAACTAGCGTAACATAAGCAGAATAGGTAAGTGCAACACTCCATTTAGTGTTTTGCCAAATTGTTGCCAGAAATCTACAGATACCAAAATTTCAGTTCTGAGTTTGTACAGGCAAGTCCTGGACTGGGTAAAAAGTTATATTAGTATTATTATCCACAAGTGATGTGATTATGGTTTTCGATTACTTTTTTTCCAAACCCTGCTTTTGAAATATGCTTATACTTAAAATCATATTGCTAGGACACTATATTAGCATATTTAATATTCCCCAGATCCTCTTAGGATAAACTGTGGGAATCCTCCTATGCCAGGCCTATCAAAGGTCCACATTAGTTTTTATTTCTCCAGTGATCAGAAACATTGATATCAATACCTATTAAAGTTAGTGGGGGGAAATATTAACTTTATCTACAGTGTATTACTGTATATTAAACTGAAATAGTCCACAAAGGATTTTTTATGAATTTATTTTGGATTAAAAATATCAACACCAATAAGTTTTTAGACCAAGTTGTAACTTTTCCAGTATAGAGTCTTTGCATCACATTGAGGCATCTTGCACAGCTGCAGTTAAGGTGAGAAAGAATGCTCTGTGTGAAGATAGCGTACAAAATGGGTTCCGGTTTCCTTGCACCTTGTGCAGTATCCTTTATTTCTGTGCTGTTCTCTTCTGAGCATGAAAAATGATGATTATCCAATTTGTATTTCCTTGGTACATATTTTAAAAACAACACAGTCATTGACTTTACAATTCAGTAATGAAGTTTGGCAAAGCCTATTTTGTAAACAAGTTAATTTTATAATGTAAAAAAAAAAGTTAATCTAACCTTGACTTGTTATTTGCACTTTCATAGTCTATACTTGATACATTCCCACTTTATATACAGTAGGATTCTACAAACGTGTAGATGTTTGGCCAAATGAATGCTGTTAATAATATGTAAAATTCTTTGATTAAACATTTATTACTTAAACTACTTCCATTTTGTCTCATTACATTGTAGACTTTGTTTTAACCAAGTCAGAAAGCTGATTTTCCTCAAATTTAAATCCCTCCAGTGTGATGGGATCAATTTGGTTCTTACATGTAATTGATTAGTGCCTAATATTTTTACACTAGCCACTTACTGAGCATTTTATATCTCAGTGATAAATACAAAAACACTGCATGACAATGTGTTAAAACATTATGACTTCAGTGCTCATTTTGTTGATGTCACTGTAGCTTTCAGGAGAAAACTGTTATTACTTTTTCTTGAAATCTAATAGAAATACACAGAAAAATAAGATATGTTTTGTGAAATTGCTTAGGAAAGAAAAAAAAATTTATGCCATTTGAATAAAAATGCCTGCTTCTCTGTCACTTTATTATTGTGTCCCTTATGAGTTACCAAAATAACCCATGACATCTGATCTTGCGGGTGCTTCATGGGGTCTGCCGGTGATAACCATTTAAAGCGGTGTCATTTTATTTATGCCTTTCATTGTGTGGATCTGAAGTTAACTACCAATATTCATATGCTGAATTATTCTTTAAATGTTGTTCATTACAGCCACTGATCTCACTTTTTATCTCCTTTGAGTCCTCAAATATTTATCATTTATGTGTTATGAATTAAAAGCTGGAATTTATTGTTTAGTCATAATTTTAAAGCAGTGATAGTGTGTCTCTGAAGAGTGAAACCTTTGAATGTAAATATTAAGTGATAATACAAACTTTGGTGGTGTTTTAAGGCTGAAATAACTCCAAAGGGAAAAATTTTTCATGCAGTCAGCTCTTGGACTGAGTAGTAGTTTTTCTGAGTTTTTTTCTTTTTCCTTTTTTTCTTCTGAGACAGGATCTCACTCTGTCACCCAGGCTGGAGTACAGTGGTGTGGTCATAGCTCACTGCAGCCTCAACCTTCCAGGCTCAGGTGATTTCCCTACCTCAGTCTCCCAAGCAGCTGGGCCTACAGACACATGCCACCACACCTGTCTAATTTTTGTATTTTTTGTAAAGGCAGGGTTTTGCCATGTTGCCCAAGCTAGTCTTGAACTCCTGGGCTCAAGAAATCTGCCTGCCTGGGCCTCCCAAAGTGCTGGGATTACAAGTGAGAGCCACTGCACCTGGCCCAGAAGTTTAATCTCAGCATTGTGTTACAAGCATAATTACTGGGTCTTCTCCTTGGCAACAGTATATTATCTTGTCAGTTGTTAAAACCTTCCCACCAGAATGAAAGATTTATTTCTAGAAAGATAGAAGTGGCTCTTTCTAGACTGTATTATGTGACAGTCCTTTAGGAACTGGCTGTAGACTTAGTTCTTAAAGATGTATTAGAAAAGTTTCCTTTAGCTCTCAGTTCTACCTAGGACTCAGAGGTAGCTGACAGACTGAGTGGTGACCAAACTTTTGAAGGAATTATTCTTCAGTCTTTGAAATTGCAATTTGACAATATTCTTGATCTAGCTATCTTCATCTCTTAGCCAACTGTCTTATTAAGTATTTATTGCATAAGTACCTAGCCTGTGTGAGGCGTCAGTATACAGCAGGTTGAGAGAGAAATACATGAGAGTCAACAAAGCAAAAGCACAAAACGGATAATCGTTGGAGGATACAGTCAGGCCTCTTATCTTACTAGGTGTGCCAAGACTGCAAGGCCCTGTTGACAATTTTGCCTGAGCCATCTCTTAGGATTTATGTAACTAGTAACTTGAGGTCAAGGAGCAGGCTTAACTGGTTACTATAGAAGAAGTGGATTCCTCATGCTCAGTGTTCAGCCTAACTCCAATGTGAACACCACTGTGTGCTTGCTATCCATCCAGGCCCATTGCATTGCCCCTGTGAAACCGGAGACAAGGGGAACTGTGAATATGCTGAGGTTCATTCTGAGTGCTGTGCCATGAGTGATAAACTCCTTTGCCTCTGACCCAAGACTCTCATGTCTTCTGTCAGCATTCTTGAGATTGTAACAGGCTAACTTACTGGTTTGTCAGTAAGGTAAAGTGAAATCCTGAAACTGAAGAGTTTCGGCAAAAAGGATGGGATGCTGCCAAATACATGATAGTCTGAAAAAGGAACCGTGGGCCAAGTTCTCGAATGTAAGACTCCCTGGAATCTGGTAGTGAATGCTCTCACCCTAATGAGGGATATAGGGAGAGGGCTGGTGGACACTAAGGTTTCCCATGGTCCTACCTATTCACGAACAGGAGGCAATGTTTAGAGGCTTAGCAACAAGAGGTAGGATTGAAACAGTGCAAATGGTGCTTTGTTACTCCTGCAGGCAGGCAAAGGAAAGGATGTTTTCATGACAAGTCCTGTGGCTGAGTCAAGTCCCAAAATGTAAAATAAATGGTGTTATCAAGAAGAACCTTGCTCTTCGATTGAGAGCCTTGGGTAGACTGAAAACAGGAGGTTATTTGGCTGAGCTGCAAGCAATTGCAGCACTGTTCAGATGCCAAAGTGAATGCAAAGCCATGCCTAAAAGTGCAGAGCAGGCCACAGCCGGTTCAGCCAGTAATGAGGACAAGGTGCTGGGTGCAGGGGTGACAGAAGTGCCGAAGACTTCGGAGTAAAATGTGGTGTTGCGAATGGGGGAAAAAAGAAGCCTGGGGCCCCAGTTCTTTCTTATTGCTGTAGGGGCTCGCCACTGCCTCAGGGGAGGTAGTGGTCAGTGTCCTGGCACTGATCCTGGAGCAAAATGCTAAAGGAGAAAAAAGGCTGAAAATTAATTTTCTTCCCCACAGACAGCCTCTTCTGCAACCCTCCTGGTTGGGGGATAATGTGATCTGTCACTTACTTGCCACTTGTAGCCCCTGACTTGCACACATTCTCATCAGTCTGTGGTGTTCCTGTGGTGGAAAAGGCTTTTTAACGTATTCCATGGTGAGGAAGGGAAGCTAATAGTATCTTGCAGGTGGGGCCTTTTGGGTGACTCAATGTAATGTGGCTTCTAAATCTGAATGTACAATGGAATTGATGTGTTATATACCCACACTTACCTGTCTCATAATTGTCAGTGGGATTCTCCCTTTCAAGGGCTGCTGCATGTACAGAGGTAATAATGGGCTGTGTAAATTACTCCTCAACGTGTCTCTGACCCCTCCTAGGTGGTCCTCCAGACACAATACAGAATCTCAGGAGGAGAAAGGGAAATTGCTGACTGACTTAATGGTAGTCAGAGCATTCAGGCCTTTTCCCAACCCAGTGTGGCCACCTACCTGACCCAGCCACCAAACAATATCCACTTTGAAAAACAGGGAACTTTTTTAAAAAAATGTATATTTTATTGCGTTTTAGGTTTTGGGGTACATGTGAAGAACAGGCAAGATTGTTGCATAGGTACATACATGGCAATGTGGTTTGCTGCCTTTCTCCCCATCACCTATATCTGGCATTTCTCCCCATGTTATCCCTCCCCAACTCCCCACCCTCCGCTATCCCTCCCCTAGTCCCCCCCTACAGACCCCAGTGTGTGATGCTCCCCTCCCAAAACAGGGAACTTTAAATGTGCAGCTCTCGAAACCGAATACCTGACCGATGGAAACCTTGGGACTTGCTGATCTGACATCTCGACTTTACGGTAGGTCAATTCTAACTGGAGAATTAACAAGATGGAAAGGCTCCAACAGGCCTTGCTAGTCACATTGAAATGATATATTTGAGAGGGCAGCTAGCCTGGCCCTAGCATATCTCAATTTTACTTGAAAAATTATAGCTGTGCCTTTGGGGGAAATTTTGTGCCTAACTTCACTGCCTGTAGCACGGCCACTAGCTGATGCTAGAATGGCTGGACTTAGTTCAGTAGCTGGGCAGCAATTTGTGCCAAATCCCAGTGATTTTTTTTTTTTTTTTTTTTTTGCTGCTATTGATAATTCTAAAATGTATATGGAAAGGCAAAAGAACTAGAATTGCTAAAACAATTTTGAAAAAGAAAACTAAAATGAGAGGAAGTATGCTACCCTCTTTCAAGACAATGTGATACTGGCGAATGGATAAACACATAGATCAATAGAATAGAACATAGAACCAGAAATAGCCTCACACTAATATTGTCAACTGGTTTTAACAAAGGCGCAAAAGGAGAAAGGATAGTATTTTCAAAAAATGATGCCTTATACTCTGTATAAGGTATAAGGCAGGCAAAACTCAGGAACCTCTACTTAAAACTCACACTTTATATATAAAACTTGAAATTGATCATAGATTTAAATGTAAAATATGCAACTTTTAGAAAAGAACATAGAGTCTTCTAAGATGTCGGCTAATCAAAGAATTTTTAGACTTGACACCAAAAGCATAATTCATAAAAGAAAAAATCTGATAAACTGGACTTCATCAAAATGTAAAATGTTTCCTCTACAAAAGATAAAGAAGATGAAAAGACAAGTCTGGGAGAAAATATTTGCAAACCACGTATCTGACAACTCATAGAATGTATAAAGAAGTCTCAAAACTAAACAGTAACAAGACACTCCAATATAAAATGGACAAAAGAAATGAAGAAAAATTTTACCAAATAAGAAAAATGACAAACACATGGAAATTGTTCAACATCACTATCCATCTGGGAAATGCAAATTAAGATCACAGTAAGACACCACACCTATCAGAATGGCTAAAATAAATAGTGTCAACACCAAATGCTGGTAAGGATGTGGATAAACGAAACTCATACATTGCTGATGGGAATATAAAATGGTACAACCATCCTGGAAAATAATTTGGTAGTTTCTTTAGAAACTTAAGCATATACTTACCATATGACCCAACATTTGCACCTGTGGGCGTTTATCACAGAGAAATGAAAACAAGTCCACACAAAAACCTGTACACATTTGTTCACAGCAACTATTTGTAATAGCCAAACCTGAAATCCACCAAAATGTCCTATCATAGATGGCTAACAATGGTACATCCATGCAGTGGAATACTACTCAGCAATAAAAGGAACAAACTGTTGATTCAATCACTTGGATGGATCTCAAGGGTCTTATGCTG